CTGTCACGCCCAGGCTGGAGTGCAGTAGTGCCATCTCAGCTCACTGCAACCTCCGCCTCCTGGATTCAAGCGATTCTCCCCCCTCAGTCTCCCGAGTAGTTGGGATTACAGGCATCTACCACCATACCTGGCTAATTTTTTATATTTTTAGTAGAGATGGGGTTTCACCATATTGGCCAGGCTGGTCTTGAACTCCTGACCTCAGGTGATCCACCCGCCTTGGCCTCCCAAAGTGCTGTGATTATAGCCATGAGCTACCACGCCTGGTCTTTTTTTTTTTTTTTTTTTGCACACAACAAATCAGATTTGGGTCTAAATTTTTGGGGGGCAAGATATTTCATAGGCTGTACTATGTACTTTGCATCTTATCAGGAGACATGTACTATCTGATAGACCTATAGTGAATCTACAACTGATCAACAAGTTCAGATGGCAATGATTCCCTTTATTTTAAAGGCCCCCATCAACCTTTCGTATGTTCTCATGCCTATTGCCTGAATCATTAATTACCTAGAAGTTGCAAAATGCTGAGTTTCCAATTGTCTCACATATTCTATGTGTACTAGCTATAATTCTTTTGTAAAACAGAATCTTCACTATTAATTAAGTTACACTGCTATGTATAATAATCTGAAACAAAAAAAACAGGATATGTGCTTAACTTTTTCCCTTTAATTGACATTTTTCAGAATAAAGAGTTGACACGCTGTACACCTACAGTCGTTATCTATTGTTTGTTTGTTTCTTGAATGGGGAGGAGACTTTTAACTTTCATTAGGAAATTGCGTGTTTTTATGTATTCGGTGTTTCAGGTTCAGTTGTAATGTTCTTTAATACTAAATTGTCTCATGTTTGGCCAGAGAGTCTCTTCATGTTGGCTTATAGATCCTTTTCATATGACCTCTTTGTCTTTTATGATTTCCTTCCTTTCTTTCAAATACAATGAGACTTTCCAGTACTATCTTGTATACTTTCCTGCCCCAATTCTGAAATCAGCCATTTCTCCAAAGAGCCTTTGTTTGTCTTAGTAGGGAATAGTATTTAGAGGCCATAACCAGCATAGTAGGAGTGTTCATTGCTATAGTGTTATTTATTTATTTTTTTAGATGGAGTCTTGCTCTGTTGCCCAGGCTGGAGTGCAGTGGTGCGATCTTGGCTCACTGTAGCCTCTGCCTCCCAGGTTCCAGCAAGTTTCCTGCCTCAGCCTCACCATATTGGTTTCAGCCAATATGGTGAAACCCGACCTCTACCAAAAATACAAAAATTTAGCCTGAGTAGCTGGGATTACAGGTGCACGCCACCACGCCCAGCTAATTTTTGTATTTTTAGTAGAGACAGGTTTTCACCATGTTGGTCAGGCTGGTCTCGA